TAATAAAAATAATTTTTAATTTACGCGAGTTCGACAGCTCGTGTCAAGACCAAAGGAGATTCACCCCTACCAAAAGTATTACCTACGGTAAGGGACTGGCATCCTTCTCGTCCTCTCCTACCTCTTCCTCTCTCGTAAGAAACTGACCTCTGCCTACCATGTCTACCTCGGGGATCTTGACGTCTCCCTTGGTGACCTCGAAGAAGCTGTTGTAACTTCTCCTCTTCGGTATACTCCTTACCAAAGAGCTAGTACTGAACTGACTGAGGTAGTTGTTTTATGAACTCTTTATTATCAACCCTTTTCTCATCACCCCGGCCAGAACCAGAACTGGAAGATTGGCTAGGGACATCCATCGAAAGCCCAGAAGAAGAACTATTCCCTTAAGAACCGAAGGGATATGAAAGAAAAGAAACAGCCCAACAACTCACTATTTCCCTCGGTGAAAGGCAAAAAACAACAAAAAAAACCACTAAATAGGAGTTGAAGATAATCAAACGAGGGAGAAACCAAAGGGAAACTAACAACATAAAAAGAAAAGCGAAACAAAAAGGGGGAAGAGATCAATACCTGCAAAATGGACAGGGGAGAAAAAAGCAAAACAGGTTCTTCGATGGTCTTCACACAAAGAAGAATATTGAAAAAGCTTCGAATGCTTGGAAGCTGGAAATGGGATAGCACCAGAGAAACGAAGGAAACTCGTAGATGAAAGTGGAGAGAATAGCAAATGCAAGTTTGAAATAAAGAGGTGAAATGTGACCCTGGGCGCGAAAACGAAAGGCCAGTAAACGGCTGAAAGGGCAGGGGATAAAGGGTAAATTCACCTCGCATGCATTTAATGAACCTAATCATGGCTTGTGCAAGTTAAGAACGACACATGCTCCACGATGCACAAACCACTAATGGTCGTAAAACACATGGATCTCCATAATCATCAAAATATACAGGAAAGGAAAGGTCACGCTGGTGTGACAGAGGTCAGGTTCGATCTTATCCTTGACATTATAGCCGAGATTATTGCCACGACCAAATACTACAAGGCGAAACCCTGGCAAAAGAAAGAAAGACTTTGCATGTCGGATTCATATCTCAATCAATATGGTCTACATGTAACCATCAAGGAGCAAGACCGAGGTTGAGATAATACTTCAGCATCCCGGCATTTCGAGCTTCGCAATACCGGGCTCGGGGCAATTGTTATGGAATATATCCATATCCTAACTACCTACCCATGAATTTCTTAATGGATAATGACACAATTATCTTAACAGCATGAGATGATAAAGATAAGGAGATAAAACTGTTATCCCTACACATAAGAGGTTAAATCCTACATCAACTGAGAGATCTACACAGCCCAAGCCCAAAAGGTAACCCCTATGAATAAAAGGCTAAAGATCCTCAGGTATACACACTGAACTCATTTACTACTACTACTGACACTGTGCACACACTCACGTCTTGGTTATAAGCCTATTGCTTGTGCACAGTGATTGGTATATTGACAATAAGCTAACCAAGATATCTGTAAATAGGATATCTCTGAGCACATTCCCTACGATTTAATTCTACGATTTTCTAGGACCGAACACGTTGTATTGTTGCAATTCATAACGCTGACAAAAAACATAAATTACAAGGCAAAAACTGATTAGAAGTATAGAACCCAAAAAATAGTATCCGAGAGTCCATGATAATTATTCTATTTTTTTTTATAAATAATTTTTTTTTTAAATTTTTGTATGTGTGGGCGAGAAAGTTGAAAAATTATTTTTTTAAAACCGATTTTATTAAAAGTAAATTTCGACACTTTCTAATCCTCAAATTAAAAATAGAAAAAAAAATTATGAATATTATCATTCACCAACCGTCCAACCACACACAAAAAACTCTGATATTAGGCACTAGCCTAAAAAGCTTGGGCTCCTGGTTACAAATATGGGGGTTTCATTCAATTTGGGCTGGCTTACATGGGTCAGTTTGTTATGCATTGGATTAAAGTATTATCCAAACTAATCAATTATTAGTCCAACTCAGTATTGTTTTTCTTATTTAAGTTATTTGAATTGGTTCGTTAATTCATTTATTTTTACTTATTCATATAATCAATACGTTTATTTTAAGGTTATATTTTATACATATTTATATAAAATTTGTAATACAAAGTTTACTTTGTAAAAGAAAAAAAATAAATTTAAAGAATAATCATAACTCTAGAACAAAACAACGGCAAAGAAACAGAGGAAATAAACATAAAGAAGTTAAATTCGTAATGTGATAATAGTGATAACCTATTATGTACCGACACAGACACGGGACATGACACGACATTCCGACACGTTAATTTTAAAAAATATTAAATTTCGACACGTTGGGACACGTTTTAATATTAAATAATATTTTTAATATATATAATATATTTTACATTTAATATATATAGCAACTTATAATAAGTCATATACTAATCAAATATTCAAATTTTATAATATAAATATTAAACAAAAATAATAGAACATTTCAAGAGTGTAAAGTGTACACCACTCACAAGTTCAATTATTTTCATCTCCATCTTGAATAAATCCATTCAGTAAGAGTCTCCAATGCCCCTGAATTTACCCATTAAAGACACTCCCTTCAAACATCGATCAGCAAAGCACCTTAATAGTTGCACAGATCCATCCAACAAGACCCAAAATTTCATTTTCCCTGACTCAGATAGAGTGTATCAGTTACATAGGAATATGAAATTCTTTGATATTGTATATATTTCTCAATAAAGCCAAAAGAAGCAGATGGTCAATCAACATGGAAACATCAATAACTAAAATTCTAACAACTCTTATTGAACAAAACTATAAATGAATTACGTATATATCTGAAGGGGGTTTTTGTTTTTACTTTTTATTTTCTTCTTTGAAAAAAAAGGCACCATTTTTATTCTATTTAAGCAGCAAGAACAATTATTAAGCACCGATTCAGCTCTTCTTCATTCCTAGAACAAGTGTACACAGTGGCACCAAACTCCGCCAGTTCCTCCACTACAGCGTGCCTGAACAGTGAACCATCACACGCAGAAAATTTAACACATAAAAAACGTACTTTAAGTAGTTTTAAGAAACCCCAGAATAAAAAAATAAATAAAAAACCAATTTCAATTCAAGCAACAAAGAGAATCCAAAAAAAAGAGACACATTTCAACACAGCGGAGCGCAAGAAAGAAAGTGAGACTAAGAAGAAGATTAAGAAACCCGATTCCACGTGTTCCCCCAGTAACTAAGTGATATAGGATAGAGTTCTATTTCGTTTACTTTTTAATTTTTATTAAATATTTTTAATTTTTTTAATTATAATTTTATTTCTTTTTTACAAAAAAAAATGTTAAAACATGTTCAAAATGTGTCCACATACGTTGACCGTGTATCAGATTCGGTCAAAATCACGTGTCCTCTTAATCAATGTGTCCCAAAAATTTGACCGCGTGTCGGACACGTGTCCGTGTCGAGTGTCCGACACACATTTTTCCTCCAAAATCCCGTGTCCCTGCTTTAAGGAATTTTCTAAAGTGATCCCGGCCCATGTTCTTTAAGGTGATCCTTTCCTATTTTTGGAAAATTTTGTTTCCCTTCCACTCCCTCCCTCTTTAAAGAATTCCCTCCCACTCCCTGTTTTTTACTAATTATGGATGGGGACCATGTATACCCGGTCCATCAAAATAAACCTCCTGCTTTAGAGGTGATAACATGTAATATTTTGTTTTATTATAAATATTTTTTAGTTAAAAAGGAAACTTTAAGCTTAAGTTTAATTAAATTTTGATATTAAACACTTACTTATGTTTTATAAACTCTTGTTTATAAAAAAAAAGTCTTAGAATTGCTCGAGGCTCCGTACCAAATATATTTAAACCTTGAACTAAATTATACCTCTTTGCACCTTATTTTATTTTTATTTAAAAAGTGTTTCATCCTCGTAATTACGAAAATTTTCCTTCGATATAATTTTTTAATTTTATGTCACTTTTAAACTTTGTTCACAGCCAAAATGTGACTTAATTAGCAACAGTCCGGCCTGACCGGTTCGACCGATGAACCGATTTTGAAAAAAATATTTCTAATATTGCATGCGCCAAGATTCAAACTCAAGGCTCTTGAGGATGTCTAACAAAAACTTACCATTGGGCTGAGTATGATTGTTGGTTGTTATATATCATTTAATATATATTATATCATTTAATAGAATTATTTCAAAATTGTATCTAGTGGGGATTGAACCCTTGTTGTGAAGATATAAATTATAATATTTACCACTAAGCTATATTTAATTCTTGATTCACTTACACCATTTAAAATATTCATTATATAATTAAGTATAAAATATAAATTTATATACATATCCGGTTCATGCAGTTGAATCAGTGATCCACTAGTTGAACCAGTGATCCACTAACTTGATATCCCAACCGAGTCGATCACCGGTTCGAGTTTAATAACATTAGTTAAAAATTACGGTTACTATGCATATCCGTAGATAATAAAAACAATAAAAAGACCCGATATACAATTTCTGCAAGAAATGGCAGAGTTAGGTGGACTTACCATAACAATTCACTCTTATTCGACCATTTAGCATTGTCCAATGCTAAACCTCTATTCCTTGTAATGGGAAAGTGTTCCACAACCAATGGATTTCAGTTTGCAACATTAACCAAACCATGACTTCGTCACCCAAAAATATAAAAATAAAAATCATGTCTAGAGATATGAAGTCACAAAGGTGTAACAGAATATGCGGTAGTTGCAGTAGGTTTGAATCAGTAATAGTTGGTTTATCAAACAATCTACTTCCCTCTAGTGTCCATGGCATATTTTCCCCATCTGTTAACTTTGTTGCCAAGTTTAGTACAACCTCAGCATTCCATGTTTTGAAGATTCATAACTACTATAAAAAACCAATCCAAGTTCTTAAAGCCTTATTAAAGATTCATAACTTGCTAGACAAACATGAAGTCCAATCTGGTGCTAGTTATTATAGTAGCCACCATTTTTGGAATTGGGGTTAAAGGATGCCATTGCAAGATTGTTCAGTTCATTTTTGGAGACTCACTCTCAGACGTTGGAAATAACAAGTACCTCTCAAAAAGCCTTGCTCAGGCAAGTTTGCCTTGGTATGGTATTGATTTGGGTAACGGTCTCCCTAATGGGAGGTTCTCAAATGGTCGCACAGTTGCTGATATAATAGGTAATTCTTTCATTTTTAACTTGCACTCAATTAACATGAGCATTTAAAAAAATGTAAGGATAAGGTTGCATACATTCGACCCTTATCTTACCCTTGCAACTCTGGAATTTGCCTTTAAACTTTTTAATTTTTTTTTACCAACTTTCTTTTCATTCTTTTGCCAAATGTGAAAAGGTTGCTCTATTTATATTTCCATGTCTAAATTATTACAAACCCCTTTCTATTTAGTTGTGGTTGTCAAATGTTTTTTTCATTCTATTAATTATGGAATAAATCAAAAATTAAGAGTTTGTTCTGTTATATAGAAATAAAAGGACTTTTCTATTGTTTCAGTGTGCAATAATACTGAGATTTACATGTTTAGGTGACAATATGGGACTTCCTAGGCCTCCAGCATTTCTGGATCCATCTTTAACTGAAGATGTTATATTGGAAAATGGAGTGAATTATGCTTCTGGGGGTGGCGGCATATTGAATGAAACTGGCAGTTATTTTGTAAGTTGACTAGTGTGAACTTTCATGCTATTTATATCATATAACCATTTAGTAATCATAGCAAGACACTAGTATATTTTGAATGAAAAATTGTTCCTGTCTCGCAGATTCAAAGGTTTTCTCTCTACAAACAAATTGAGCTGTTTCAGGGGACACAAGAACTAATTAGAAGCAAAATTGGAAATGACGAAGCAGATAAGTTTTTCAAAGGAGCTCGCTATGTTGTTGCTTTAGGCAGCAATGATTTCATCAACAACTACTTGATGCCTGTTTACAGTGATTCATGGACATACAATGATGAAACCTTCATGAACTACTTGATAGGAACACTACAAGAACAACTGAAGGTTTATTTAATCTATTCATACTCACCATTTCTTTCTGCTTCATTTTGGCATCTAATAATCTTTTCAATTATGCTTTTGTGCTATTTAGTTACTGCATAACTTAGGAGCAAGGCAATTGATGGTGTTTGGGCTGGGCCCAATGGGCTGCATCCCTCTTCAAAGGGTGCTTAGTTCATCTGGGAATTGTCAAGACAAAACAAACAAACTGGCTCTTAGCTTTAATAAAGCTACAAGCAAGTTAGTAGATAACTTGGGGAAGCAACTTCCCAATTCAAGTTACAGATTTGGAGATGCATATGACGTTGTTAATGATGTCATTAGCAACCCAAATAAGCATGGTAAGTACTTATATATTACTTTCGTTACCCACCTGATGCATAGACCATTATCTGAACCTAAACCATTAGCAATTATTCAAATGAATTTGATACGTCTATGTATGTAGAACACTTAAAAAAATGCGTTTGAGATGTAATACATAATCATGGTTTTTGACTCTTTTAATGCCAAAATACAAACATTTCACCGATTCAATTCTTTTGGTGAACTATTTACCAATCCAATGAGAGGGAAACACGTATAGGAAATATGCATATTTAAGTCTTGCATCACCTCCAAACGCAACATGTGCTAGAATCAATACAATGCAACACATGCACCTTAGCCATGCACGTTCAACTTGTGCACGCATCCTATACGCGTCTTGCAGAGCGCGACATGTGATAGTCGCCTTTTGGAATTTGCACAAATCGCATATAGGATGATACGCGACTTAAACATACATATTTCTCATGTGTGTTTCACTCACATTAGATTGATAAATGATTTGCCAAAAGAATTAAACCAGTGAAATGTCTTGATTTTGGTATTAGAAGGGTTAAAAAGTCCATAGTCATGACGGAGCATATTAGAAATAAAATATAAAATACTTAATATCTTAAACTTTTGGAAAAGTTGATTCGTGAGAGATAATATCTTTAAAATCATTGGGAATTAGTATCCTTGATTAAGAAGTTATAAAGGTTTCACAATGTCATTATGTTTTGAAGACTTGACACCATTTCAAAATCTCAAAATAATTTTCATTGAAATAATATTTTCAATGTAGGATTCCAAAACGCAGACTCACCCTGTTGCTCCTTCGGGAGTATTCGACCCGCTCTTACATGTATACCTGCATCGAAACTCTGCAAAGATAGAAGCAAGTACGTTTTTTGGGATGAGTATCATCCTTCAGACAGTGCTAATGAGCTAATTGCCAATGAACTCATCAAGAAGTTTGGATTTCGGCGTGTTGATGAAACACAAGCTCCTTCATCATCACCAGCTGTTGCTCCATCTCCAGATGATTAATGAATGATACAAGGTTTTGTTGTCCAATGCTGTAATTGCTATTGTCACTTGTAATGAAAGCAAATATCTTTCTGTTCCTTTACCAGTCAGTTATACTAATTTCTTGTTATGGTTTGAGCTTGTCTTGATAATACATAATTTATTGTTAAAATAAGATAGAAACTTCTCATATTTCCTTTGAATCTGAATTCACATATTTAAAAAATTGTTTTTGTTAAATTGCTCCATTATTGGGTTGCCCACCCACATCAAATCTCTATGCCTTACTTTCTTCATCAAATATTCCTCACTGCAATGGCAAACATTGCACTAAGACAATAACTGAGTACTGTATATATCTTTTTAACCAAATGGACTTGTAAACATAGAATTTTTTTTTTTTTTGAAAATATTCCATCGGTTCATTGCTTTGCGACTAGTCCGATTCGGAGCGGGTCCAGGATTAAGGCTTTAAACTCCTCCCAAAGGTGGTACTAGGGAGGTTCGAATACATGCCCTCACCCCATGCGCCAACTGAGCTACCACCATTTAGTGTAAACATAGAATTAAAAGTAGAATAAATTGCTCAAAAATTAATTGCCACAATTAATTAGTTTACCCTACCTCGCTATTAAGCCACACATTGAAAAGAACTGATTATCTTTTTTTCTCTCTGTTTGTTTTTTTTTTTTTTTATTTTTTTTTTATTTTTTATTTTTAAATTTGATTACAGTTACCTACATACATTTATGCACATATGACTTCACATTAACATAATTTTTACCATTTCATTACTAATGGTTTTACCTTATTTTTTTTTTACACATTTACACTCCAATTCTTCCGTAGATCCCTAGACGTATTTCTTGCATATCTCCGAAGAAGTTCTTTTTTTTTTAGTAAGGAAAGAATTAATACCATGACCTACTAATTGTTACCTACTAATTGTTACCTACTTAGGCCACTTAGCATGTTACACCATTATATCATAAAACTGAACAAGAGACAAAGAAAGAGCTACATTTGTACGATTAACGTTATAGAAAAAATAAAAAAACTGAAAGGGTTAAACGGAACTTTCTCAGACAAGCCATTAATTGGAAGCATCACAAATTACAAGGAAATCATGGCAGCCAAAGATGTATTGGATGTGCTGATATTGTTTTAGGATAAGAGGATGAATTTTTTTTTTTCTTTCTGATTTTTCCATCTTAACATTCCTTTGTTCTCTAAGACAGCACATACAAATTTACTTGTTTCAAATCTTGTTATTGCTATCAAAATTCTACATGCAAGGGCTAAAGGGGATAACTCCTCTGTTCTTGCAATATATTGATTTAAGTTTTAGGTTCACAAAGAAACAATCACAAGTCTCAAAAAACAAAGAGCTAAAACAAATATGACAGAACACAACCTTAATTAAAAGATAGAAGGATTATACAAAACAACACTGAAACTCAATAGCTAACACACATCCGTCGAACAACCAGTGTTAACATCAAATCCTTCACTAAGCTTGCAAGAACTTGAGGCAACACATTGGATCGTGAAACAACTCCTCTCCTCGACGCCTTTGATCAAGAATCTAAAAGATAACAACACCACAACAACTCTGCACCAAGAAGGCTTAGTGCAAAACAACAAACCAGCATGTATCAGACTTGTAACCTCACCCTCCACCTATGAAGCACCGACACTTCAAAAACCCTGACGTGTCGTGTCCGACACTTCCCGACACTCTCGGACACTCTGACACTCCCCGACACTCCAACACGCGTTATTGAAATTCAAAAAGCGGTTCAAAGGTTGAATCGCGTTGAGTTTTTAGTTCCAACTGTTAGATTCGTTAGATTGCGATTACCATTTTATTGAGTTTAATATAAATATTTGAAATATCTTATGTTTCTTTGCAAAATTTATGAATATTATAAGTTTAGATACATTTTTTTGTTAAATTATTGAATATTAAAGATAATATATACTACATAAATTAAATATATTATTTAATATCAAAACGTGTCCTAACGTGTCGAAATTTAACATTTTTTAGAATTAACGTGTCAGAGTGTCGTGTCGTATCGTGTCACGTGTCCCGTGTCAGTGTCGGTGCTACATAGCCCTCCACAATAGTGCACTCACTTATTAGGAAAGAACACTAATCCTACGGGTGATTGACCCTTTTGCCCCTATTTTAAAATAATATTATCATTTTCTGCTATTTTTAAACTACTTAATAATTTTAACCTTTTATCTAAATTATATACAAATCTACACCCATTTGACCACGTTTGACTGATAGTTACTCGAGTAACTCAGGCCTGCTACTCAAGTAAATGATTTACTAGATTAACTGTCACAATTACTAGTAACTATTGACCAAAACTTTATAACAATGAGTTTCGGCTTCCATTTTGTCATACATGTTTTTCCCCCCCAAATTCCCATTCATTTTTCATCTTTCGTCCAACCTAACAAAGTGATTTCACCCCATCATACATAAACCTTTTCCCTTATAAATACATTGTCATTACACCTAGATATTCCAATTTTTGTGCAAAAATATGATCCCAACATCAAAACCTAATCCTAATCTATGGAAAAGATGAGCTCAAGTTCCAAAACATATGTTGTAATTGTCTACCACAATTATAGGCAATTTGAAGGTTCCAACGGTGTATGTAAGAACCCGCACTGTTAAATTAAATAATTATGAAATTAATGAGATAACACCATAATTGAACCTAATAATTATGAGAAGGCTTAAATAATTATGGTAAGTAAGTAATAATATTAAAAGTCGCTTTTTTGACGAAAAGTGCAGATACCGGTTCCGCTCCACGGTATAAATGCGTACCGATGAAGTATCCTGGAAAATTATGAAAAGTATTTATATGTCACTAGAATAATAAATAGGACTAGCATAACAAGTTTCAAGTCAAAATAATGAGAACTGGTGTCAGAATTGATACTGGCTATGTAAAAGCGCGTACCGGAAAAGTACTGCGAAAAATAAAATAAAAATATGGCAAATCTTAAAAAAATGGCTAGGTTCAGAATCCTAAGTTTGGGATTAAAATGATAAGCGTAGATATTAGTGCTAATACTGTGAGATTAAATTAGAGTGGTCTATAAATAGACCCTTGCACAAGGCCCTAGGTCAGAATTGAGGTGCCTACGTGAAGTTGTTTTCTGAGTTTTTGCTGTTGAACCTCTCTACACCATTTCATAGCCTTCTTCCTCTTGAAACTCCACCAAAGCGACCACCTTTCTCCATAGTTTCTTCACTTAAACATCATAGCTAGGTGTGAGTAAGCCTTGTGTGAGAGAAAGGTCATTCATTGTTGAGTGTCCGCTTCTGAGTTGGTGAGTTGTGGTGCTGAATACTTGAATGTTGTTGAGCAAGTCTTTGTTTGGTCCTTTTACGCTTCAAGAAGCCACCTTTGGAGAGAAAGGTCAAACTTTATAGTACATTTTCGTGGCTTGACAAAGTCAGAGCCTTGGAGCTGTGTTGGGGGCTCCAAGTCATTGTTTCTGAGTTTGAGACACTTGAGGTATACCATGATTACCTCTTTGTCATTTTCATTATTTAAGCTTGTTTAATCCATTAAAAAGTGAAACTTGAATCATTTGAGTTAAGGACTGAGATTCTGAGTTTAAAATATGTTAATGAACATCTGTTTACAGAGTCATTGGACTCCAAATCACGTTTGGACCCTTAAAAATGGAATTATGCAGATGGCAGTTCGAATTTCTACATTCTGTTTGATAAGTATTCAAATACTTTTCGTGTAGTATTCGAATACTTGTCCTCTAGTAGTCGAATACTCCTTGCAGGAGTATGGGGATACTTTTCTGGGAAGAAAAGTATTCGGATACCTTTGAGTAAGTATTCGAATACTGGGTAGTATTCGAATACTGTGGTGTTTGTATTCGGATACCTGGTGGTATTCTGATACTGGGGGTAAAGTATTCGGATACCTTGTGGTATTCGAATACTTGAGTGAAAGTAGTCGAATACTTTCTGGAGACAGGGAGTATTCGAATACTCATCGAGGAGTATTCGAATACCTCCTGCAGAAAAGGCATGAAATGTCTTAGAAAGCCTTAATCACTTAATGGAATCTTGAGCAATGATTAATTATTGTATAAACAGATTGTGATTGTGTTGTTTGTGGGCATTGAGCTAGTGTGAGTTTGGCTTAGATAGTTAGCTTGCGAGGTAAGCTTCCGTGTCCTCGGTTTAGCCATTGTTGGTTCCACCATGCCCCATGGGGGAATGGTTTTATGCATGATGTGTTTTCATGTTTTGATGATTGAAATGCTATTGAGCTGATAAGTGCAAGGGCCTTATAATATGCATGTGTTGTTCCATCTAGACGATAAGCCTGAGTATGCGGTGTCATACAATACGGTGATTCTGTGGGTGGGTGCAAGTGGCGTCTTGCACTGATGTAGGAAATAGACGTATTTAAGTCCTGCATTTCTCTGGCCAGTAGAATATCTTTACACATATGACATGATTATCTATTGCATTGCACTGATTTTGGAACTGATATTGTATATTGCTTTTAGAACTTATATTGCACATGTAAGTGAGCTTGGGGTGGAGAAATCCTTGAGGATCCCTTGTCTTACTGAGATTTCTGTTTAGATATCTCACCCCACGTTTGGGGCACATATTTCAGGTTCAGGTAACTCGGGGGTTGAGACCTCGGGCTGCAGGAGGCCAGATCTTAGTTGACTGATGCATGATGATGATTATACTGTTATGATTGGATGCTGTTTTACCTTCATTATCCTGTTATTTGATTTGAGACTCTGTTGGGCTTTGTTTCCTTATTTGGTGAGCATGAGGATTGTTCATGCCACATTGATTGACTATGTCTGATTTGGATTCGAGTGGTATTAATGTATCGGGATTATGTCCGGACTACGTGTTGTAATTTCGTGACTTAGATACTCACTTATTTATATTATGAGGTTATTCAGTGCAGATAGCTGTCTATATGCAATTTACATAC